TATGCCTTTTATCACCCTGTCTTCTCAAAGCCCCTTTGAACTTGCCCCATTCCTTCACCTCCTCTTCCATCCACCAACCTCTGCTATCCTAATGATTTCCTTCGCTTCCACTTTTTATCCTCTCCCCCACCCCTTGAAAACTCAATGGAGCTCAGTTCTATTCTGTACATAGTTGTCTCCATGGGTTAGATTTGACTTAATGGCAGCTGTTGGGATTTTTTGGTTCATTTCCGACTTGAGTTTGCACTAGGTTTGGAGAAAGCAGGAGCTGTGCTAGGATATCAGAGGGACAGTCTGTCTCTCGGACTTTGAAAGGTAAAGGAGACCCCAGGCGTTCAGGAGCAGAGGTAGCTGGTGCCAGCCCATATGGAGGATGGCCTTGCGTGAGTCATCTGTCAGGTGAGCCTGGCCCTTCATCTGCTGCCCTGCTCTTGCCTCCAGCTACCAGGATGGATTGAATCAGAATCTATTCTGTCTTCAAATCTACTCCTCCTCAGAGACTCAACCTAAAATTATGCTGAGAAATTTTATTTTAGTTTCCACCCAAGAAGGAAAGTCTAGGCTGAGCTTCAGTGACAATAAGTCAGAGGCATGCCCAAATTGACACAGGCTATTGAGAGAGTATTTTTCAATCAGCTTAGTTTAAAGACAGAAAGCCATGTCTGCCTTCTTATATATAGATCCTATATAATCAAACTGATTGGTAATCTTTTATTGTGGGGATCAGATAATGATGTGGTTTGACACAGTGACTGCAGCAGTGGGCTCAAGTGTGTCAGAGATTGTGAGGATGGCACAAGATAGGACAAGGTTCAGATGTATTGTTCCTTGGGTCGCTATTAGTTAAATGGAATTCAGTGGTATCTAACAACAACAACAACAACAGTTTATGCTCACAATAAAGGTGTGGTGGATATCTGTTAAAATTCTAGTTAATGAACACTTTTCCTTAATACTTGAAGAGTAGTCCTTTTCTCTCTAAATATCACATTTAGAACGAAATAATCCTAGGAGAGATTTTAAGTTCATGTCGACTAATCCCCTCCTTGATTCAGAATCCCTCTGTGGCATCCCTGACATGGTGCTCCAGGCAACGTGTGTGTATCAGATAACTAGCCACTTCACAGGATAGGCTGCCTCTTTGTTGAACAGCTCGAGTTAGAAAGTTCTTTATTATTAGGACCTGAAATCTGATTCCTATAATTTCTACCCAGTGGGTATTGTTTTGCCTCTGGAAAAATACTGAACAAATCTGTTTCTCTTAAACATCATAGTCTTTTGTGTAGTTAAATAAAACTATCATCATTTCCCTTACCTTCTGACTATGGAGGAGAAAAAGGCACAAACCATGGAGCATCTTTCTGAAAAGGCCAGAGGGAGTGAGAATAGCACAGCCCCAGAAGAGAAAGCAGATAAAGAGCCAGTAGCCCAGACTTATGGTGCCTGTAGAGCCCCACTAGTTGCAAGGGGTTCCTTTATTCGTTGCTGACTCACCCACTCATAGTTACAGTAACAACAATGGGGTTTATTAGGGGAAGGAAGTTGAAGAGTGGAAGAGGCAAAGAATACCAAGCCAAATCCAAGTTTTAGCCTAAATTCCAAGTCACAGTTCCTCAATTAGTCTGGGCTCTGCTTTCAGTTCAGAATTCAAATCGAAATCATCTGGCAAGGTTTCCCTCCAAGCAAACAAGCATCTAGCACGTTATTAAATCAGCTGCTTCTTCAAGCCTTAAGCAAGAACAGCAAACAACTTTAACTGTAGCCTTTATCTCAGGGATCCTCTGCTTACACCTTGCCACAGTTTCTCAATAGCAATGCCACAGTCTCTCCAACACTATACCTAGGGTGTCACCAGCACAGTCTGCTTCAGTCTTCCTCAAGTCATGCCATCACAAGTCTTGTTCCCTCAAGTCTTGATGCTAAGTGTGGGAAGCACTCTTTCTCTTATCTTAGTTGCACAGCTGATGCTAATTTGCAAAACCATGTGTCTGCAGTTAATGTAGCTGGAGACCAGAGAGGACTAACTATATTAGATTTTTTTAATAACCAAACAAAGCACCAACTTTTCGGCTAACACCACACCTTTTTTTGGTCCAATCCCAACAACTCTGATTTCCTAATCTTTTCTTATATTCCCTAATTGTGAGACCTTTCCCCATAAGCCAAATATTTATACTCATAAAAAGGATGGGCTAATCTGTTTATCCCTTCCAAGTTGTGGAAATCTGCATACTGCAGAGTCACTTAAATGGTATTAGAGTCCCTCTGGTTCAAGTACTGAAGTGAGTATTTATATAGCTTTGGATTCTTCTGGTTTTTAATTAGTATGTCTGTGTTTTCTCTTTCTAGTTTCTCTATAAGTTGTCAGAGTGCCAGGCGAGGCTTAACAAACTGACAGAACTAATGAACTAGAAATTTAGTCAAATCATTATACCCAGAGGCCAAGTGTTTCTAGGACTAGTTTATAGCAAATACATCTGGCTAGGAAGTTGCCTATAACTTGATAGGTTAAATGTCCTGAGATTTAGTTCAGTATAAAAGCCAGTCGTTGAACTTTTTTGATCTTGATTAAGTATGCTTCGAGCAAAGGATTTCTGTTTAATGACAGGACTCAAGGAATCTGCAATAGCTGGATTCTGTTGAGTACATATTGATGTCTGGGCTGTGGTGTTAGAGAAAACTGAATATTGCATGGACTGCTAAAAGAACAGGTGTCTTACAGAAGGTACAGCCAGAGTGATCCTTGGAGGCATAGATGATAAAACTTTGTCTCACATACTGTGGGTATATTTGTAAGAGAGGTTGTTCCTTGACATCATGCTTGGGAAGGTGAAGGGACAGTGAAAGAGAGGAAGACCCTCAAGCAGATGGACTGACACAGTGATTGCAGCAATGGGTTCAAGTGTGCCAGATAGTATGAAGAGTGCATCGGATACGGTAGGGTTCATATCTCTTGTTGACAGGGTCACTGTAAGTCATACTTGACTGGACGGCACCCAACAATAACAGTGGGTATTTAGAAGGCAGCTGATATCTTAGTATCATGAGGATTGCAAGTTACTAGCAATGGGAGTAAAACTGGAAAGAAAATTGAAATTAGTATTTTACAGGTCTACAAAACTGAGGTGATGAATTAAATGTAGTTATAGTTTAATGTTTAAAAAAAGGAATCCTAGGAGTTTTTTCCTTGACTTCACTCTTGAGATATCTGTGCTGCACGTAGGCAGAAGATAGGGAGGAGGAAGACTTGTTACTTGAGTAGGGTATTTTGAGCACCTGTTGTACATACCAGGTTGGTTGGTGCAGTGCTTATGCACTTGACTACTGAGAGGTTAGTGGTTTGAAACTATCAGCTGTTCTGAGAACAATGTCTGTTTGCTTAAGGATTTACTTCCTTGGAACCCCTACAGGGCAGTTCTTTTCTTAAAGCACTGCTGTGAGTTGGAATTGACCCAAAGACACTAAATCTGATTTTTGTTTTCTTTTATGTGCCAGACATGTCCTACCCAAATGCTGATGATAAAAAGATAACATTTTATTTGCAGTACCTGCCTACATGGAGAGTACTAAAGTAGCTACTTTAGTGAGAGATGTTAGAGCAGAGATACAAACAAGGAACAATGGCACACAAAGAAAGGCTTTGCAGCATAATGACACTTGCACAGAAGGCCGAGTGCAGAGTTCATTCTACAGTCAAG